CTGCTCCAAAGCACATGTGCCCAACATCCTTGTGAGACTGGACTAGAGGAGAGGAAATGAGACGAGTCGAGACATGACTGACTGACTCACAGTCGTTAGGTTGGAGTCTACGTCCGTGATAATCGGTTATGACACAGTTGATGGTTTGTGAGGATGAATGCACGCAAAGGTTGTATAGTCATGCTGGCCGTAAAGATGGGCAGTGCCATCTGGATGAGACATCGCAATCAACAGCGTGTACGAAGCGAAGCATGGAGGACATTGGGGCCTAACCAAGTGCTTAACCAAAAAGCATACTACCTTACACCTTCTAGACACCACTTCTGCCTGTTAAACTCCACCTGCTTTGCAGAACACTGCAGAGCAGGCGATCCCTGTTGCCCAATCTTCTGAACCAGGATGAAGGTACGATAGGCGTCGGCGCAGAATGCAGCCAATGCACGATGAGAGAAGGAATTGTCACTACCGGCATGCAATATGACGAGAGGTAGTGTGGACGTCTCGACTCCAGCAAAACGCCCCTCCTATTTGCTTTGCTTTCTCATCAAGCTTATCATCATTCAGTACACGTGTCTCCTCATTCTTCACTTCACTCTCCATCCTGCTCTTTTCCCCCTTCTTCGAATAGCTCTTTACATTCCGCTTTCTCATCTCGTATTCCACCCTCCCTCTTCCCACGGGCGTATATCAGGAATTTCAGCTATTTTATGGATTACGTTGGTTCCTTCCTATTCTTCTTCCTCCATATTAACCCACCTCTATGAGGGATGGAACTGAGCATTTGCTGCAATCTGATAAACTTCATATCAGATGTTGCCATAGGGCTCTCTTCTCCCACTTAAACATCTGTCTGAACTGCTTTGTGGCACCTTCTATTTTGGCGACCTACATGCTATTGATGTTAAAAATACACTCCTTGAGTAAGCAGGAGCACCTTGTCACATTATCGGCAAAAATGGTGTTGCCTTATAATAAGAACTTGGAGAATCAATGTCCTTAGTGAGCCATGAGCGAGCCCTTTGAAGTAATTTGCAGCAACCTCCTCGCCATTGCAAAACGAAATTTGACTAATCACCTCGTTTGAATTGGACCAGGAAGTTATGCGTGATGCAGGGAAATTGTTGAATAATCCACCTGTCAGACGATGACAAAACCAACTTCATGCCTACGGAAGTGGTTAACTGGTAGAAGTATTAATAAAGATGTATGAAAGGAGTAGAGATTTGTGTCAAAATGGTCTCTTCACATCATAGGGGTAGTGGTAGTGTCGTCTGATGCAGGATGGATGCCCTCCTCTATCCCTGGTGGTGAATTTTTGGTTATGGACTCAATGACGCCGATGGCGACAGGTATGACTATCACCACTGTTCTATCTACCACTGAATGTTTGATTAAAGTAATCCTTTGTGCCAGCAATTCTTTGATCCTTTTATTGCATAAGCAAACATCCCCTCATTTCAGTTCTGCTGAGTACTGAGTTGTGCGTCCCTATGAAAGAGTGAAACTGCACTGTTGA